AACTGTGAATGGGGGCATCTGTAAGCATGTATGTTTCACAATCATATTGCTATTGCTTTTAGTACTTTGCCTGCTTTGCTGGGGAGGAGAGGGGTTTATTTGGATTACATTTCCATAACCCTGCTCGTCATTGAAGGAAGTCAGCACAGGAACTCAGAGCAGGATACTGGAGGCAGGAGCTGCTTATTGGCTTGCTCAGTCTGCTTCCTTATAGAGCCCAGGACCAGCAGCCCAGGAATGGCCCTGCCCACAATGGGCTGGAACCTCCCCCATTGATCACTAATGAAGAAAAAGTCTTGCAGCTGGGTCTTACGGAGGCATTTTCTCAATTGAGGCCCCCTCATCTCTGATGACTCCAGCTTGTGTCAAGTTGACTTACATATTCACTGTCACTGTGTATCACTTTTTCTCCTAGCTAGACACGATGAAGTTTATGTTTTGATCCAAATACTACAGAGGGAAGTTTTCTTTTCGGGGGAGGTAGGATTCAGAGGACCAAGTTGAAATTATGGCTTTACCCTTTGCCATTCAGTGATGAACTTACTATCCTTGAAGTTCATGTGTGTATGCATCGAGTGATACAAATGATACATGAGTGAGCATCCCAGCATTGATAAGAAAATTAAGGCATGTAGTTCCTGCTCCACAGGGAGTTGTAGTGGGTCAGTGAGCATTCAGACCATACTAACCAGCTGAGCTTGGGAGATGTCCCTCCCTATGACAAAGAACAAGCTCAAGGGAGGGGAGAGTCATCCGCCTCACCCCATCAAGTCACTGAGCTCTGGGTTTGAGCCCATGGTAGCACAGACATGATATCATGGTAAGATCATGTGGCAGCGTGCATACCTCCTACAAAGGTTTTTTCCAAAGACCTAATTTCCTTTTACTAACCCCTCCTCCCTAAAATGTTTCCCTACTTCCCAGTAATTCTAAAGGCTGGGGACAAAACTATAGGGCTTAAAAAAAACTATTTTTTTCTGTGGCAGTGTAAATCAGATTCATACCTCTGAATTTTTGGCAAATTCTGGAATTTATGATTACCTAGATTTACTTATGTGTCTATTATATAAGCTATCTCACTTATTTATTTTCAAAACTCTGTTTATTTTTATTTATAGTGATGGGGATTGAATCCAGGCAAATATGATATTACCCATCTATAGTTCCAACCTTTACTATTTATTTGGAGACAGTTCTCACTAGACTGCCCAGGCTGGCCTTAAACTAGGAAGTCTCCTGCTTCAGCCTACTAGGATTACAGGCATACCCTGTGAGCCTTAGGAGCTTGTGGTTTTTGTTTGTTTGCTTGTTTATGATGAAATTGTTTAGTTACTCATTAGAATAAAGACTCCAGAATGGTTCCTAGGCTATGGAGTCCTTCTGTTAGCTTGCCCTCTGTATTTTATTAGATTATTATGTGGGTATGAGGTGTGGGGGGGTAATCTCTTGTTGCATTATATAAATATTTGCATTTTATGCACACATATAAATATTTCCCTATGCCATGCATTTCTTCACCTCTTTTTAATGTATCTAATAAATATAATTGCAAAGGTCTTTTAAAATTGCTACACATATACTAAAGAATAACAGCGATTTTCAAACAGTACAGAGTGTAATTAATTTTTATAGAAACAGTATGTACCTGCCAAATGGGTACTTTGAAAAATGAAACCATTTTCAACTGTGTGAAACGGCTTGGAAATGTGATTCTCCACCACTTTCTTTTCCTCATAGCCAGAAAACAGTGATATGGAAATTAATTATGACTGTGTATCCAAGGCTGGTTCTTCCTTTTTTTAAAAAAAAAATCATGCTTTAGAAGCAACGTTTCCTTTGGGCCAAGAACAATCCTGAGACATTTGAACGTCCTGGATTTTTATCTGGAAAGAGGATTTGAACGGAGCCTTAAGTAAGTTACCACCCATCCCCCAAAGTGGCAACTCAAGGATATGCTTCTGTGTTACCATTGGTGCAAGAAGGGGCTAGCTTTCTCTAGTTCCCTTCCTCACTCAGAACTACAGTGTAATGAGCTTATATTACAGGCTCCAGCTCTAAATTCAGAGCACTGATTTATTCTGACAACATGTCCTATTGCATATCTGTTGCTAAATGTACACAATACTTCATTGTTAGGAGCCTGTTGTGTAACAGCTTCCTAGGTTTGTTAAAACCCGCACACAGATCTCTGATTCCCACATCCAGTCTAATTTGTAATCTCTTTTGGCTCTTGCCCTGTCTTCTTTGGTTTTGGTAATATGTTTCTGTGGTCAAACTGAATTTCCAAAACAAAGTTATTTATTGACTTGGTTGTACAGGTGAGGAATCAGAAGAAAAGCCAAATATTCTTTTGCACGCGTGTGTTTACGTAGTGAAGTTGCTGATTTAGTGCTTTTCTTGAGATAGGCAAGGTGACAGTGGTGGCTTGCAACAGGGCAAGTTGCCAGAGTGATACCTCTGACTTTACCCTCTCAGATGTGCTATCAACTCAGATTCCCGGTAGCACACACCGCCTGCCAAGATGAGTTATCATTTTGAGCGGTGGCTCTCCACTTTTACCACACTGCAGTGCTACTTGGAAGGTTGGATAAAACTCCTTGTTCTGTGTCCCATGCCCAGAGTTTGGTTGGAGCTTGTGTGGGGTGACCATCAGAATTTGGGTTCTAATGAGTAGTGCTGCAGTGATGTGGATGTTATTGGTCCTGGGTCTTCACTTTGGTTACCATGGAGGCAGAGTACTGGGAAGCTTTTGGTTGGCTGCAGGTATTGGGGAATGAGGGTGTTGGATTTGACAGGGAAAGAGATAGGAAAAGACTAAACATTCAGGCATCTTACCTAGTGTCCTAGGTTTGTTGGCCTTGGAGCTGTTACAATGTGTTATGAAACTGAGCATTCATAGTAATTATTTTATTACTGGATATTAAATGAAGTTTAGGAAGGGCAGTGGATTTTAGTGTTAACACCAGCCTTCTCTTTTTTCCCTGGTTCCCGCATTCTTCTTCACACTGTGCTTTTTTCTGTCCCCCTACAAAGAATGCCTAGAGATTAGCCATAGGATAGGTGTGAGGAGTGAGACTGGATTTGTTTCCTTGGCAAGATTGTTATGTCAATCAAGTTTACCATTGTATTAAAAGCCCATTGTTTTGGCTTTTAACTAGTCAGGCTTTGTGGCAAGAAGGATGGCTATGGGTTCAAATAAGCCTTACAATGTTTATCCTTGATTTCCAAAGCAAATCAGTTTTGCTAATCTGTTACCCAAGGGATTTAATTTATTTAAGTTTTCAAATGATGACATTGCTATCACTTAAATAAAATGAATGTACTGATTAGAAATCAGTCTGACGTGTTTATCAGTGAAGACTGCACGTAACTTGGCGTGTGTGAGATTAAATTACCCAGCCTCCATTGATTACGAATATATTGTTCATATTTCTCGTTCAGGAAGAACTCTCGTCCAGGTAGTGCCAATGACCAGCTTTGTTTTTTGTTTTTTTTAACAAAAGCACAAAGACAAGCCTAGCCCCACTTCCTATTAGTTTCCATCTCAGCGCTATCTGGGGGTGTTCAAGTCTGTTCCTGGCACCCTTTGAATCCAGTAGACACTAGAACTTTAGCATGCAGTTCAAAGCATAAAATGCTGCCTTCTACAAGACTTCTGTAATTTTGCTTATGAAACACTTTGTCAGATGTTACTTTTTTTTTTTTTAAATAATGCCCTGTGCTCAAATTTTCCTAGAATAAAACATTCTGCCAGGTAAAGGATTTAAGAGATCTAGGCCATGCTTACTCAATGAAATGCAGCCGAGTGGAAAGTACCCCGTCCTCCTGGCTTGGAACATTAGGTCTTTTCCGATGTTGTGGTTCAAAGAAATTATATTATTTAAAGAGCTGCTGGTACATGGACATTAACTTACTCGATGCAGATTTTGGTCTTTTGTAACTTTGTGTGTTGGGGTTTTCTTTCTGAAGGAATTCGTGTCTATAAAGAATGGTTTCAAGCCAAGAGTAAGCTGTGCTTGAACTCAGTGCTTTTCAACCTTCGACCTCTTGCTGGGAAGAGTTGCCTGAGTCAGATCATTGAGGATTAATAAGAAGTGCATTGCTCAGCACCAGGCAAGGGTTGAATCAAGTACCTTGGCTTTGAAGAGTTACTCTTTTGCTTCATACACCTAGAAATTTCAGATCCCACTGCAAAATGGAAGCCCAGGATCCAAGACCATGGTCTCCCTGCAGTTTACCAGCCCACTGCTCTTCTGCACATCCCTTCTGTCCTGTCTAACAGTGTCTGGAATGACTGGATAGATTACCAGTGATTTTGACCTCTAGCTGTTGTTGGAAGATTGGTACTATGTCATATACCCTGTACATGCTACTTAAAAAAGTTTAGCATGTTACAGAGGAAAAAAGTCAAGTGTTGATTTTAGCCTGCATAGTGGTCAGGGAGTAGTGACAAGACCACTATGAGGTAAAGACTGGGGATTCTGGGCCAGATACCCACAAGGGGAACTATTTGTGACCAAATGTCTGCCAGACAGAGGAGTACAGGTAGCTTTTCTGGGTGCTCGGAGAGTGGTGTGCTTGGAAGGATATGTCCCCAGGTATGTCCCCAGGACTGGTTCTGTTGGTGATAGGTAGGAGCTGTATCTGTGCGTCAAAAGCAAAGGAAAGGGGGCCTGTAGACTAGATGTGTGTAAAACACAACGAGATAAGTGATCACAGCTAGAGAAATGGGATTTTATACTTCCTGGGTTAGATGCTTTATGATTTAACTTGACATGAGACATAACCAGGCAACAAGATGAAGTATTTGGGATTTTATGTACTTTCCAGTTAGCCATGTTATAATCCAGGCTGGATTCAGGAGAACTCTCTGGGAGTTAATGTGGTTCAAAGGCTCTCCTCCATTCTCATTCTCATCTCCCAGTGTTTAGAAGATGCTCACCCAAAGCCTGTACCCTTGAAAAGAAGTCTCTGATCAGAGTTCACTTGTGTTTTTCCAGGTAGTCCAGCCATGACCCACAGGAATCTGACATCCTCCAGTCTCAATGACATTTCTGATAAACCAGAGAAGGACCAGGTAAGCAGAGACTTCCTTTCTTTGAGATTTAAGACAGACCATGTGTCTAAGGGATGCTGGGTTGGCTTAGAGAGAGTGGTTGTCACCACTAAAATGGACTACTATTATGTGAGGAGTGGAGTTTGATCTTTTTCTAAGAAAGGAAGTGAGCTGACTCAGAGAAGTAGGTGACTCTTGGCTTTGTAGTGCATTCTCCTGTCCCTTTTAGCTTAGGAACTGTAGTTTTGGCTAAGCCTGTGCATACTAATAAGCTCTACCTTGGCTTTGTTGTAGGGAGTAAGTGGGGGTATTTTATGAAAAAGTATTTTGGTGTACTATGAAGTGCTGGCTGAGAGGTGCCAGTGATTGGCAATTTGAGGGAGGAGAGGGAGAGGTACATCAGGCAAAGGTAATGTTAATGTCATATCCATTCTCTGTGTATTTGTTTGTGAGCACGTATCCTAAGTGTCCATTTGTAATGAAGAGCAGAGAGTTTGGATCGCTGCTGTTTTTTTTTTTCTTTTGAAAAGAATATAGTGGAGTCATTTTCCTTGTTGACAGGGTGACCGGGTGTCTACAGAGAGATTATATTTCATACAGAGAGGTTATACTTCAACAGCATAATATATTGATACTTCCTGGTGAAAAAAGTCTCAAGACTTCAAAGAAATGAAAGTTCCATATTTTAAAGACAATGAAGGGGCCATTTTGGTAACACGTTCTTTGTGCACACATGGTGATGATCTGAGTTTTGTGCCCAGTACCCACATTAAAAACAAAATAGCCAAGTGTTGCTAAGCACACTTGTAATCCTAGGACTTGGGAGGTAGAGACAGGAGGATCCCTGGGGTTTGTTGGCCTCCCAGTCCTGTAAGATAAGTGAGCTTCAGGATCAGTGAGAGAAGCTGGCTCAAAATAAAATGGTGAGTGATTTATGAGAACAGCCAGTATCAAACTTTGCTTTTCACATAAATACACACACGCACCTGCATACACACGTGCACACACACACACACACACACAAATACACACATGCATGCATATATATGTATATATGTATATATGTATATATATACACATACATATGCACATATACACACATGCACATACACACACATCCACACATACATACACATGCATACACACATAAAAACACACACACGAATTCTTCCCCTGTACATTGCCAAAATTCACAAATGATGTCAGAATACAAACCTCTGAACACACACACAGACACACAGACACACACACACACACATGCACAGACACACACACACACACACACACACAAAATGGCTGAGTTACAGGATAAATAGTAGGGGACACAAATTGAGAAAATATGGCTTTAATTCTTGTTTCAAAACTGGTTAGGTATGTAATGGGCCCAGCTTTCCCTTCTGTTAAGTGGAAAAAAATAGTACTTAATGTATATGTCAGAAAAGCAAGCATCTGGTTTTTGCTCTTCTAACCTCCTTTCGTGTCCTTTGATGTAACACATAACACAATTCCAGTTGGCTTCATGCTTAGCACACTAACGCCATCATTCCCATGACTTTATTCTTTATCTCTGTCTCTTTAAGTAAGGTAGCTTTGGCAATTTTTTTCCTACTTTGCCATTTTTTTTCTACAAAAAAAGCAATATTTATGACAGTGTTCTTTTTAAACTGGCAGTCCTTGTAGTAATGACAGAGTTTTATAGGCCTTGGTGAATTCACAAAAAAGTACAGCAAAGGTGAAATTACTCTCTTACGTATGAAATGGCTCTTGGAGTCTTTCAACCTTCTCATCGGTATTTCCTTAGAAGGCCTTCATTTGCCCAGATTGGATCTCTAGAAGAACCTCTGTAGCTAATCTCTTGTTCCCGTTTTCTGTCAGTTCGATATGCTTTTTGTATCATTGCCCTCCTTTCCCCCGTGAATTAGAAGCATAATAGGTTTCTAGCAAGCAGAGTTTGACATTTCCCTGAGATTGCTTGTCTTCCTTATCTTTATCTGCTGATGTTTCTGGGAGAGGCCTCTTCATGAAAACTGATGACCCCCTCCACATGACCTTGATATTCACTCTTGACTCCTTGGGCCTCTCTCTATAAACCCTGACCTAATTAGTTCCTCTGCTTTCTTCTACTTCTTCTGGACATGGTCAGAGAGCAGGGCATTTGCTTGTGAATATGTTGGTAAGCACACACCTGTGGTGGAACCCTTAGAATTTTCTTCAAGGCTGCTGAGCTCACTGTGGTTCCCTCCATTCAGCTTTCAGTGAACAGTGCTAACTATTTGTGCCCTTTGACAGGGGACTTGAACCTGGATAAGGCCACAGCAATTAGATCTAGGTATATGTGGCAGATACATTTTTGAGTAAGACTTCTTTTATTGGGGACAACCGCCTTTTGCCAGAAAGGCAGCTGGCAACTGTTGGCTGGGAGAAATTTCTTATTTTGTTGGGTCTCTTCAAACCTGGGTGTATGTAGAGGAAGTTCCATAGCTTACAATGAAAATTACATCAGATTTTGCTTCAAGGATCAGAATACATTGTAGCATCATGGTCTTTGGTTGTTTTAACTTTTTCTTTCTTTCTTTCTTTCTTTCTTTCTTTCTTTCTTTCTTTCTTTCTTTCTTTCTTTCTTTCTTTCTTTCTTTTTATAAAAAAGCGTGTGTGGATAGGGTTCTTTAACCTTCTTTGCCTCCCAGCAGCTCCTCAGAGTAACTGAGGTTGATGGTAAGGTGATGACCAAAGACCAAGCTCAAGGGTTTTACTTGTTCTGTTTTCAAAGCTAGCAAATGCAAGTTAATGGGTAAATAATCTTGAGTGAAATTATCCACCCGAACATAGCTGTCACCCACTCAAGTGAGGTCTTTCTTCTAAAAGCACTTCTGTTCCTGCCTCCTTCCAGCGGCTGGAAGAGGACCTTAAACTGACCCACAGTCTTGTCTTCCATCAGACATGGAGGAAGGGTGATCGGGTAAAAGTGAGCTAAGGCTTCACATGCAAAAGAGCTTGAAGCCTTTTAAGGCAAAAGAAAATCAGACTTGCAAGTAGATGAAGCTATGGTAACCCCAGGTTTTATTTCTGTAACCTGTTTTAATACCATACACCTAGGGTTTTTTTTTCCCCCTTTCTTTCTTTTTATAACGTATTTTTCCTCTGGCTGGATGGAGAAAACAGGTTGCCAGGCTAGCTCGAATTTGTTTTGAAAAAAGCTTTTATAATTAATTAGCCAATGTCCTGGGAGTGAGTTTGGCAGTGAAGTCAAACTCCTCCTGTGTGCTTTTCCAAGTCGGCCTCCCCTAACGTCCATCCAACTGCTGCTGAAGTTTCAGATTGAGTGATGGTTCTGACTGGATACAATCTGAACAGTTGTGACCTTGCCTCATGGCTTCCTGCGGCTATAGAATTTCCCACTACAAGAAAGACTTTATGTTTGGAGTACCGAAGAGGAACAGAGTGGCTCTTTCTGACAGCTACAGTATGACACAAGCTGGGGGCATATTTTAAATGAGATTCTGCTTTGTGGAAGCAGAAAAAACAACTCTGTGGACTGCACTTTTTCTTCCTCACTCTGCCAAGCCCATGCTCTTAGGATTTCAGTAGTGGCTGCCCGATTGAAAAATAGCTCAACACAGTTAAGAGCATCAGCAAAGCATAGTCCCAATGGAGCGATTCAGTGCCCCAACTGCATCCCTGCTTGGATGTGGTGTTTATTAAGCAGAAAAACACCTGCGAGGAGTACAAATACATCTGGAGCACATAGCATCTAAGTAAATAATCTGGTTCTCTTCTTTCTCTCTTTCTCTCTTTCTCTCTTTCTCTCTTTCTCTCTTTCCTTCCTTCCTTCCTTCCTTCCTTCCTTCCTTCCTTCCTTCCTTCCTTCCTTTCTTTCTTTCTTTCTTTCTTTCTTTCTTTCTTTCTTTCTTTCTTTCTTTCATTCTTTCTGTTGTTGCTCTGGAATGTTCTTTTGTATGAGACAGCTAATTTTCCCAGTTGTTTTTGCTTTGCCTTCTGTATTCCTTTGTTCCCTCTGTCATCTTTGAGAAATGGGGCAGCAGGAGAGACGTGATGCAGAAGCAAGGCTTGGATATTGGTTTCCATGATGAAGTGGGAAAATAGACATGAGGTTGCCTTTTTCCTTCCTAGCTCCAGGGATCACATCTAGGGTTTGGTACGTAAGGTACAAATCTACAAGCACTGTGCTACATCTGCAGTGCTAATATGGTGATCTTCATCATTATCTTGTTAGCTTTATGTCTCAGAGATATACTGTGTTTATAGCTTTATAGGGCTTGACTCTACACGCTGTGAATGGTGCAGCAGTATCTGACACATGCAGATTCAATGTTTGGGGGAAATTGCATCCTATAGATCCACAGTGCATGTAGTAGAGATTGAAGCACTTTGCAGAGTCCAAGGAGTACATGGAAGGATCACGCGACCTTGTAACATCTTACCTGGCTACTTCATTGTTTAACAGAATTATCAGACAATGTATTACGTAGGTCTCCTGGAGGAATTTGATCTGGGATTAGAGTTTTTAAAGTATAGCAGGATTATTTTAAGCATTACCTACTGTCTGATATCTTTAAATTTATTCAGAAGCCTTGATTTTTGACTTTTGAAGTGGTGTTGGTCATTTATAGAACTGGTCATTTATAGAACTAAGTGTAAATTTAAATATTTTGTCAGAAAGTAAGAGGATAAACCATTAACTCACGCCTGAGTTTGAAATTGCTGTCTTGATGACTATAAGACGGAGCCTAGAAGGGCAGAGTCTATGACTGACTGACCACCAATGTTATTATTATACATACACAATGTAGGATAGACTAGAGCTAGCTTAGCTGCTGGGGATTTTTCATGGCATCAGAGCAGAATCTCTAACGTGTGCAGGTTCTTTCATATCTACAGAGGTAGACCTGCAGTGCCTTGCCTTCTCTGAGGGTCTGTTGATTATGGGTGGTCTGACTTCAATCTGTGGAGGAAGTTGCAGTAAGGACTTTTCTGAGGTTAGAATTGTCTTTTAAAGGCTC